CTATTTTCATACGATTCAGCAACCCTCGCAGACCCTCCCTGCTGCGGAATCCTCCTCACAACCCTATCATCCAATCTAGCCTCTTCACTCTTCAATCCCAACCTCTCCGCCACAGTTCTTTTCCATTTTACAATCTTACTTATCTCATCAGCGAACAGCTCCATGCTGTACACCAGCTGTAGCTCTCGCCCAAAGATACCACTTCTCGCCTGATTACTTTCTTTGAGAATGGCGTCGAGCAGTGCAAGGATATCAGCGTCGAACTCGATGGCGATGTTGTCCATTTCGGTGAGTAGCGTGTCGATGGTTGTAAAAGAGGATCGCTGTATCCATGCTGTGCGTATCAGGTGCTTGTAAAGAGTTGTTGTAGCACCGAGGACGTGAGAAGAGCGACCGAGACTCTTGATTGTGGGTAAGATGGACAGGGGAAGTAGTGAGGAGGGAAACTCTGAGCGGAGAGTGACGACGGCGGTTATGAGATGGTGGGGGTAGTTTTGGAACAGGATACGCTGTTCGGGAGAAGGTGGATCGGGTTTAGTGACAGTCCGGGGCCGTGTGGTACCCTTTGTCCGCGCTCTACTGTTGGACTCGGCGGCTGGTGGTCTGCTTTCGCCAGCATTGGTGTTGTCAAGGTCGAGTGCACGCACTTTGGTGAAGACTTCGCGTTCAAGAACTTGCCAGAGCTCGCGGTCGGTGGGTGCATTGCGGATGAGTTTGTCAACTCTTTCTCGTTCTGCCAGGCGCATCTCTCTGAGCTGCGCTGTATCGAAGCCCAAGCCCTTCCTCCTACCACCTCGTGAGTTGTCCAATTCTGTTCCAGTTTGGTTTGTAGGCGAGCCATCCTTCCTTGACTGAGCACCCGCTCTTTGCCGCTGAGCAAGTGTACGTATTGACCGAAGTCGCGATTCGCCTTTCATAGCCTCGTCGAAAATCTGGTCCAGAGATGGCTTCGAGTTCTCTTCGTCATCCTCATAGTACTCGTCCGCTATCTGGTCGAGCTCCACAACATGATCCTTTTCCTTTTGTTGCCGTCCCTCAGTGTTGAACTTTTTGTACAATTTTTCGAACGCTGCACGCTCAGTACTTGTTATGGTTGTCTTTCGTGCAGGTTCGTGGTCGATAGAAGGCGGTAGATTTTCATCCACGAAGGGAATATCATCTCCATTGTCCGGACGTGATCGTGAAGCAATGGTGCGGCGCACAATTGGTCGTGTGGCGGACTGACATCGCTGGATGGTTGTTGTTTGGTACAGGAATGGCAAAAGTGTTTTCAGTGGCGGGACGCGAGAGCGTGATACGGCTCTGACTGTGCGCGAGCATGCAGACATCGACTAGGAAGGACTTGAGACGAATCGCAATGCAACAATTGAGAATAAACAAGAAAGGAAACGCACGCGGCGACAGTGGAATGCGATACCAGTGCGGCGTTGGACCCAATCCCAAAACTTTCGAGATCGCTAGTGGTGGCCAAAGCTCAGCGTACCCGATTGGGCAGTCTTGAAAATCCATCGATGGCTGTCTTAGCAAGTCGGAAATCAAAATATGTGTAGTGATTGGCCAGTTCAACATACTGGTTTGGGCAGGGGAGAGAAAAGCCGTCGAAGACGGTGATTACTGGAAAATGGAACTAAAAGTAGTAATGATTATTGGCCGAGACCGAACATGCCGCATAGGACAAGAAAAGGATAGGCATTGAACAATGGGGTCAGTTTACTTAGTAATTGCTATTTAGTAAGTCGACTTAGTAATTCTGATTTACGAATTACTTTATCGTAAAGTCGACACAGGCTTAGTAAAGAATGACTGTCATGCGGTGAGCTTCCTCATCTAGGTATCGAGACCGGGAGAGTAGTCCAAGAACAACCAAACCCCGTCTACTACATCCGACTGCTTGGCACACTGATTTTTTGGAAATGATGATAGAATACAATGCATTATAGCAAGACACACCCATGGGTAAAACGTCAGTATAGCATTTCACAGACTCGAGATATGGTTGTTGCTTGTTTGTGTTCGCACAATGTCTCTATATGAACACTACAACGGGGAGGGAAAAGATAAAGATAACAATGTCGAGAAGGGTTACAAAGATGTTTCATTCTGCACAGAACCGACCGTCATCTGGGTTGTTTGCAAACAGCAGTCATTAGTGATTGATTGTTGACAGACAACACTCTCTGAGCTTCTCGCTGAGATGCAAAAGACGATCTTTGAGATGCCTTGATCTTTGAAGACAGCGTGTTGATGTGTGTTACAAAGGACACTGATCTACAAGCAGACATTGTTACCAATACCCATATTGACTCGACAGGTTGCCCAAAGCGCGAAACCAATATGCTCGAGTAAGTACATGTGCCGAAAAGTGTGTCATGAGTCGAAGACACGGGGTGCATTATCCGCTATCACGATTAAAAGAAAGAAAACCAATTACATTGCTAAGATTATGCGGAATTCTCCTTTGCACCTTGTCTAGATCACCAATAACAGGACAGAGAAAGGCCGAGATCATGACATGCGCAGAGATCCTTGTTCTTAGATAGCCGAATTTTGACACGGTTGATGATATGCGCAATGTGGCGTATTATCTTGTGAAGACTAAGTATCCGTAGCTTCCAAGCACACTTGCAATAGGAGACAATAATGCTAAACGAAAGTTCTCGCCCGTGCCTCTAAGTATTCCGTCTGTATGAGGGATTTCGACACCCTGGGGTATTTGTGGAACTGGTAGTGGGGCACTTGGTCATCCTCGAAGCAACTGGTGTGTGCGTGAAGAAAGGCAATCATTAAGGCCTCAAAGGACCTGATCATACTAATTACTTTTACACTAAACCTGTTTTAGTAACAAGTGCCTTCCCGCTCTCATACACTGAACCGTGTCTTCCAACAATAGTAACACATCTGGTAATTGATAAAATGCCAGAAAATAGCATTAGACTCGTATCATGCATGCACATGTACTTCGCAAAGTCATATCACCCCAAGACCCTTGGCTCATCCCACTTGTGCTGCGCCTTTCTCTTGTCCCTGAATACCCGGCTTGGGTAACGCGCCGAGGGTTTCTTGGCCCGTAAGGGTTTCTTGGGGCCATGACTCAGTCGACGTCGTTGGAAACGACATTTCGCAATCCCATCGCTGCAAAATGCTGCTGGAATATCATCGATGTCAATGATGGGCCATGGTTGTCCCTCCCGTCGACTTGCGTTTATGGCTCTTTCTGCAAGGGTATTCGTCTGTGAGTCGTGATTACATTATAGCGCTTCGTTGCTGCTCAATATGGCTACATCGGAATTTCTGTATCTGTTGTTAAAGTCCGAATTGGTTTGGGGCAATTCCAGTCCATGCGACACAAGCACAAAACCACAGCAATAGTCCAAAAGTACACTGTTCCAGTTGAAGTGACCATTGGCAGTAGTCCAAGGCTACTCAAACTCGTGCATTAATCGGCATCTCATGAGCGTAAAGTCCTCGACTCCTCATCATCATGACCCAATTCTCTGCCCTCGAGCTCAGCAGCTGGTTGCTCAACCTCCACCGCCGCATCTCTTTTGTATGCGACTGCACTTGGTCCCATCTCATGGAGGTGCTTCGCGTGTACCTCGGACGGCATTGAAGCCGAATACTCTGCGACTTCTGGAGTTCTCCGTGCCTTTCTTCGCTTCTTCAAGATGAAAAATGCAATCAGTCCGCCGATAATTGCAAGCCCTGCGACTCCACCAAGTGTAGCTCCAACAGCCGCGCCTGTGGATATACCCGAGGAATGCGAAGATGGCGCAATGACAGATGGAGTAGGCGACTGGGTGCTGACGATATCACAAAAGTCGATACTGTAGTATACGAAGGAAGAGTTGTAGCAGTCGATGGGCTGAATCACTTCTTGATAGCCTGAACAGATGTTCTCGGTGGTGTCATTTTGGTAGATGGTGACTAAATCGCCTTTGTATCAGTATGCGCGTTTCCCTGTTCGCGATCAATGGCTTCAACTCACCAGTGCAGCCTGGATCCAGGCCTACAACTTGAAAACTGCCGTATGGCCCAGTACGTCGCAGATCGGTACACGTGCCATTGGGATAGCCATTGGGACCTTCAAGACCTCGCAGCGAGTTTTGGCAGTGCTCATCCGTGAAGAGGGCTATTTGACTGGCGGCGAAAACATGGGTAGCGTACAAGACCAGAGACGTGAGGTACTTCATTCTCGAAAGGGTGAGGGAGGGGCTCTCAGGAAGGGCGGTGGTACAATGTCGAGAGCGCGAACGAAACCGGTCCGAGCCGCCGCCGTTAAGACACGATTTGGCGTGTCGGCTCTGGCACCACTTCGTTTGTGTACGACTTGGGGGCTACAGAGGTGCCCAGCATATGCAAGACCACATCCGGTGTAGGCTGGGGGCCTAATTTCTGTTTATCGCTTGGCGCTCAGGGTGTGTGGCTATTTCCACTAATTAACTGTTGCCCGCTAGATTGCATGAGGGTGACCGACCCACCTCGGGCGTCCCACTTTGCGGCTGTGGATTCACTCTGTTTTTTTGCTTCGAGTGACTTTCGGTGGATTAGGCGGAGAGTTTCTTGGATGCATGGGGCCATGGTCAGAATTTATATCTATCGAGGAGCGGGGAGCTCGCTATTGCGGGTGCAGCTGAAGCTGGAGTTGTCAGCTGAAGCGATGAGACATACGCAATAGGCGGTGGGCGAGCTGAAACTGGATGACAGCGCATCTTTGGCATGTGACCGTGCATGCAAACAATGTTGAATTACTTACTCATACTCCAAGTCAAATGGTTGCTGGGTCAAGCATTGATGGCCTGGGGACAGATGGATACTCGTGCATTGTTGAATTCCAGAGGAGATGGAGAGACGGGGGGGAGGGGGAGGAGTGGAGAGTTGTTCGGCAACAGCCATGGGCGGCGGGGATGCGGGGAATACGACGGCACTCGCATTTCAACCTCGCCAGCTCTGACCACTGAGAGCGAGCTTGTGCATACTTATTTTACATACGCTCGCTAACTATGTCATCCAGAGGCCAGCCACGGGTCCTGCTCTTCGGCGCTGGTAGTGTCGGGGCTATCTACTTGTACCTACTGAGCAAAGTAGCCCATACAACAGCCGTCTGTCGCTCCAACTACCATGTTGTCAAGGAACATGGTTTCATTATCAACTCGTCCATTTTCGGCAATGACATCCATTTCAAGCCAAACGTCGTCCGCGATTGTGGCGAAGCGTCATCCCATTCGCCAGAACCCTACGACTACATTGTTGTCTGCAGCAAAGCCATACCAGGTACGGTGCCCAGGCTGATAGGCCCTGCTGTGACGCCTGGGCATACGGCTATTGTCCTGATACAGAATGGAGTAGGCATTGAAGAAGAGTTCATGCAGGCCTACCCAAACAACCCCATCATCAGCACCGTTGTCTATCTTCCCGCAACCCAGAGACCAGCAGGTGTTATCAGACATGGCGAGGTAGAGCAGCTTCAGCTGGGAGCCTATCCATCCTCCTCATCCAACTCTTATGCCAAAGCCTTCGCAGAACTTATAACATCTGCCGGCGGTACTGCAGAGCTCTACGATGACGTTCAAGCCAAGCGCTGGTACAAACTTTTGGTCAACGCTTCCTGGAACCCGATATGCGCCCTCACGTTGAGCAAAGATACCGAGGTTCTGACAGCTTCAAAAGAAGCCAATGAAGTGCTGCGGGCCGTTATGCTGGAGATCCGGGACATCGCAGCCGCACATGGCCATGACATCACACGAGAGCAGGTCGATATTCAGCTCGGGCGGGCGCAAGCTAGGATCCCAAACAATGCTGGCATTGAACCAAGTATGCTTCAAGATGTGCAGGCTGGCCGGAGGATAGAAGTGGAGGCCATCGTAGGCAATCCAGTAAGGATGGGCAAAGAGAAAGGAGTCACGTGTGTGAGGCTCGAGATGCTCTATGTGCTAGCAAAAGCATTGGATTTGCAGATTGGAAGAAGATGATGTAAGCATTGCTTGTCGCTCTAAGGAACGGGACGCTTTTGACAGCCTGCTGTAAGATCTTATCAAAGAGAATTCAAGTATACTCTTAGTCTCTGGTCCTTCCGAGCCGCTTTGTTCCACGCCTGGCTTGATCATATCCTCTCCCAAATATCATTGCCGTTTGAACATCAATGCAGTAGTCGCGTTTCACTGTCAACCAAATGCAGTGTTAGTCCTTAGCCGATTCACTGCTCCACACGCGTGGCGGGCATCATGCCAAGCTTTCTAGTTGTGTTCATTTCACGTTCACTCCCACACAACAATGGAAAAACTGTTGCAGTGTTGACGAACGGTTCGTCGCAGACCTTTGACATTCACTTTGAAGATCTTGCTTTTCATTCTGCCGCCAGGCACCACCTCTCCTTCAACTATAAAGTTTGCTTCAACTATACATAGCAATCTCAACCTACAATACCTCCTCCCACCTCTCTTCTTTTCTTATATAACTACTATCTGAAACCTTTGAAAGGATAAAATCTGAGCCAACTCCACAAGTCACGGAAAAAATGTGGGCTATCATCTCTCAGATTTGCAGCTTCTACACCAACATTATGGACTTCCTGTACTGGGAGGTGTACTATGAGATCTGTGACTTTTTCATAGAGAGTTTAGTTGTCTCAATCATCACTAAACTCAGCTTAATAGGTGTCTTCTTCGCCCTTGGTATCTATCTTCTCAACAAAGTGGACGAATTGGAAAAGGGTCAGTTCAACCGTGGATACCAGCATCACGAAAACTACGATGCTGACAGACAATCAGTTGAAGCCAAAACACCAATCGCCCCTACTTCCCCTCTGATTTATCCCGTCGCGACACCACTACCACGCCCGGACTCACCTATACCTACAATCTACTCTCCGCCATATGAATTTCCTTTCGAGCACTTCCGTGGGACAGGCGAATCTTTTACACCGTCTCGCCAAAACCTTCACGTTGAACGCCCACGATATATTCCTCCAGTTACCTATAAAGGCAGTACTTTTTTGAAAACTACCGAGAATGTACAGAGGCTAGACGAAGGCATCCCGGCAGTTGCAGAAGATGCTGAACCTCCACATGAGGAGGTTGAGCAAGCTCAACTATTTCCTGACACCCCTTCGCCTCCACCCACAAGCAACAGGTCGACCTCGCTCCCGGAAACGGCGAGTATCCAAACTCCTATCCAAACTCCTCAAACTCCACATCTTCCTGAACCCCCGAGCCCCAGAACCATACGAGTGAACGCCCTGAATCGGGTTGCCCAGGAGGAGCATAAGATTCAGGAGCAGATTGTCATTTTCCTCAACATGATCCCCACTGGTTCGGGATACGAGCTCTCGGCCACCCTTATACTAGACCTTTTGTGCGAAGCAAAGGAGTATCTGGAGCCACTCTTTCCAGATGGATTGAGTGGTATCCCCACCGGTTATCTCGTCTGGGGGCAAACAATCATCGATTTCTGGAACGCCCTCTCACCATATCGCTGGGACTTTGTTAACCACCCAGACAGCAGAATGCCTGAGTTCATCAGGGGGTATCTCAATCTTGCAATTTGGTTCGGTTTGGAAGAACGCCTCAGCGAGTTCCTTTTCGTGCCACCGTTTATTCCTAGGCCTGAGTCTGAGTCTGTTCCTATTCCCGAGCCTATACCTGAGCCCATTGTTGAAGATGTTCCTATTACCGAACCTATACCTGAGGCTACACCTGAGCCCCTACCTGAGCCTGTTATGAGTATTACCGAGGCTAGGCCTCAGTTCCAAGAGCAAATGAGAGTGGCTCCAGTCTCTTCCTCCGCCACATCACCACCACTACAGCCAGAGCATTCTGCTCTACAGCCAGATTCCGCTCCAGCTACCTACACATATACGATGTCAACGGTCCCGACGAACTTCTCGTACCAGAAACCCAGCCAAAAGTCTGACCCGCTACCAAACCCATCATCCACCTTGCCTGCAGATGATGCAGCACCCGCAATCCCGGTCCAAGAGACTGTGCAACCTCCACAGAAGGAACAGTCTACAACGATAACTAGCTTTTCTCCTCTCAATTTTACGTACATACCATCAAATCCTGTGAACCCCTCCCATCGGAGAAGCAACAGGACATCCAAGCCACCACTCACAAAGCCATCACGACCCTCGCAAGCACCTCAAAAGCAACCTGCCGAGCCACCCAAACCCACTCCAGTCGACCCCAACCTCCTCGACTTCACCGACCCAAAGTGGTCCAACAAACCCACCCCCGAACTCCTCACGCTAACCTGGTCCTCCTTCTCCTTCCCCACCCCCAGCGCCGCAGCCCTAAAACTCTGGTCCCACTCCACCATGGGCCGTCTCTCGCTCCCGGAACCCCGCACGAAAATCCTTACCTCAGACTACATAAAGTCGAACCTCGAAACCATAGCCCTTGAGTTCAAACGCGCCGCTGCCATCCTCAGACTCCAGGCGCTCGACTGCGAAAAGCCGTGTGAGGATGATCTAGGCATGTCGCCGCTGTTCGGGGAAGTCATGTTGTTGATTGTCCAGGCGGCGGATTTCACGGAGCGATGCGATGAGTTGTGTGTTTGGGATGCGCGGGATAACTGGTATCATGCTTGTGTTTTTTTCCGCGATGCCGTGGTTCAGGATGAGAGGGTTTGGGGTGCGCTTTGTAGGTATTATGGACAAGGGAAGTATAAGCCGCTGAAGAAGGCGTGGGAGCAGGGGAGTGTGGAGTGGCTGTTGTTGGATGCGGATTATCCGGATGTTGAGATTTGAGCGGTTTCTTGGTTTATGATGATTGGGCATGCTTTGTTTGAAGGGAGTTACTGTTCAGCGCGTTTTGCTCTTATTGACTTTTCAATGCTCTTCTTGTTTTGTCACGTTGCTTGGATGATACCCCCCTTGGTCTTGTGTTTTCATATAGCAGTCTAGAGATCGTTTGATAATCAAAGACGCTTAGCGTTTCTCACATTGTGATATGAAGTTATTTTCACGTGTGGATATTTCAGCGGAACCCCTAGATTGATTCGTTCTTACAAAGTGAAGAAGCCATATCACAGACTGGACAACGCGCACCACACAATGCCGTCAAACACACCAGCAAGTCACCCAACACGTTACACCACAAGCAAAAGCACCAAACCATCAATGTGAAACTTCGATTAAAGACTCACTACTAACCCTACAACCTCTCTAGAAAATTCCAAAAACAAGAATATTGTACTACTCTCAAAAGCTACCCAACAAACACACCAATCAGGTACTATACATTACTAGCGGACTCTAAAAGGCTCCATGCTTAAGCAGCAGCAGAAGGGGCAGGGGCAGTAGGGTTAACGTCAGAGCAGATAAGTGCCTGGCCGAGAATGGGGATCAGGCAGCACTTGGCCTGCTGGCCCACTGAAGAGCAGGTATCGATGAACTCGTTGACGCCAGCAGGGGTGACGGTAGCTGTGTGAGGCGTTAGTTACTGTGGTTTTTATTTTCAAATGGGAGAGGAAAGGAAGAGGTGGAAACGTACGAGGACTGCAGTCCAAGTCAGCGAGGTCGAGGACGTCAGTTGCGCAGCAGACGGGGTTGCCAGAGGAGCAGAGGCCAACCTGGCGCTCTTCGAGGGGAGCAGCGAAGGCAGCGGTGGCAGCGAAGGCGAGGATGGTGGTGATGGAGAACTGCATTTTGATGGTGGAGAAAAGCTGATATATCTTTGAAGATAAAGAAAGTGTAATTGGTTGGTTGGAAAAGTGAAGGTTGTAGTTTGTTTGCGAATGTGTGGAGTTGGATGTGATGATGTTTTTTTATCGAGGACTTGCGTGCTCTCTTTATACCTTTCCTTTTGACTACTGGCTGATACGTGTATTCATTTTCCAGGGTCTGTTCCAAGGTACACGCAACTCTTACTTGCGGCGTTCATCGTCATTAGACTTGCCACTTCACGGAAGATGATCGTCATCGGCCAGGGGAGGAACGAGGAACGCACGTCCACAATCAGTCGACGATAAAGGTACCGATCCACCTGTTTACACCTAACTTAGTCGTGGTATGTGTGACCCTAGTAAGGAGTGACGTCGATCTCGAATCATCCCAGCTTCCTCGTTCCCGGTGGATCGTCTTGACTGGATGCTACCGGGTGCGGAGACTCCGTCGGGGCTGTTGATCTTGAAACGTGCCGGTTAAACTGTTCTTTGCATTTAGAGAGTGAAAAGCCACAGAATGTAGATCTATGCCGGACGTTTAGCTGTACACAGTATGGATATGACATTTAACACGGCATTCTTTACACATTAAGCATATTTTGGCTGCGCGCCGGCGCGTAGACTTGCCACAGTGTATGCGTACGCCATGTATGACCGTATTGCCAGCCGTATAGAGGAATTATGGTATTCCCAATGCCCTCTCATAGGACAGCAGGACACCATCTAGATACTGTGGCTATGCCCTTGGTGACGTCGATGGAGCCGAGAATCGGCTAAGTACATGGCCGACAAGGTCGCATAGTACTCATTTCCGGCAACTTGACCAAGTCAAACTCGTACAAAAAGCATTGTTCGAAGCCCATGTTCACGGCAAACACGGCTATATACCTAGTGAATGCATCAATGCGACGTGGGATATGAGATTGTATCGCGATTAACCCCTTTGTGAATCCAAAGATCAAGCATGTGGACGCGAGACCCAGAACTAACCCACATCATACGGTCAAATGAGCGTGAATTTTCTTTCTTTAGCAATTGGTAGATCTTCGGGAGATGATCGTTGACAACGGTGAAAAGTGGCGAAAGTAGTGCTGTCTAGCACTGTCGACACCTCATTGAACCATGCAAGTGGCGGTGATAGGGGTGCATCCAGAACATGACGGGAAACGTGAGCTAGAGGAGCTACGACCCATTGACGAATAAGATCCAAGAGATGGCTTTCAAACAATATGCAGAACAACAGTAAAACCTGGTGGTGATTCGGTAGCCGAGCGGTATAGCAAGGATGAGGTCTTATAGGTACTTGCCA